CCCCAAAACCCCAAAACCCCAAAACCCCAAAACCCCGTTTTTGAGGTGTGAAATTGAAATTTTTGATAGGATTGGGATGATGGTGCCGTGGTAGTCTTAGGAAGTTATTTGTTACCATAAAATCTAAAATCTAATACTTATCCATGTTTACAGAATCAAAATCAAAAATTGAAATATCCCATTCCTCAACTTTTACTCGAAACTCCCCAAAAACTTCTGCCTCACTCTCTTCCATCTCTTAACTTAAAAACCAAATTCCAACAAAAACATCAAATGTTGTCCCAAAACAGATCCCAAGCCTCTCAAGAATTCCAAGAGGAATCCAAGACAAACTTCGAAACCCAAATTTTCAGGAAGAGGAGATCCGAGCTTGAGTCTTCAGTTTTGCCTGATCCTCTTAGCCACAAGAGGTTCAAGCTCACTGAAGCTGAAGAGAGAGAAATATCCCCTGATGAATCCTCCTCAGGGTTTGAAAGCGACTCTGAAGAGGAGATTGATGACCCACAGATGAAGAAGCATTATAAGTGTAATAGAACAGTTGACCTCCCAAGAGACGGAATCAACTATATAGGACTCCTCCTTGGCCCAAAAGGCACTCACCAGAAGAAACTTGAGGAAGAAACTGGATGTAAGATAATGTTCAGGTCCTCTGGTTCTATCTCTGATAGAACCAATGAAGATCACTGTATTATCCGAGGTCCTGATGATGCAGCGGTGAAGAAAGCAGTCAGTCTCATTCAGAACAAAGTTTCACTAGATTCCAAGGCTAAGAAGGAGATTTATAAAAACAGCAAGAAATGAAGGAACTAAGAGAACAAGGAAGAAATACCAAAGAAGACAAAAATTCTGAACATGAAGCTAAGATAAGAGTTAACATTCCTATCCCTGATGGCTGCGTGGGCCTCATAATTGGTAAAAAAGGTGACAAGATCAAGACATTACAGCAGCAATCCAAGACGCATATCCAGGTCAGAAGAGAAATGGATGAAGAAGAAAATAGCAAAATTGTTATTATCACTGGTACAAAGCCCCAATGTACCATTGCTAAGAAGCTGGTACTTGACATCGTCTTAGACTGGGAGCAGAGACAAAAAGAAAATTGTCAAATGATCCTAGGTATCTTACTAAATCTAAAAAGCTATTTTTGTTCCTGAAGACTGCTTTAGTCTCTTAGTAGAATCAGGTATGGGTATGACTCATAACCCAGATATTTGTTATGTTCAGGAATTACAGGATAACTATAAAGTTAAGATAATCGTCCCTATCATGCCTGATGTTTCTATTTCAGGCAGGATTTTTAAGATTTTAGGAAAGACAGGAAACGCCACTAACGTAGTTTATATACTTAATGACATAATCATGGAAAAACTTCATGAACAGTGCTCTTCTAAGGCCTCACATAACACTCAAAGTGATAAACAGAGTGATGAAGCTAATAAAGAGAATGAAGGAGTTGCTAGTAAGGCTTCTAATGGTGAATATGATTCTAATAGAACTACTTTGAAAGATTCTTCCTTAAACTTTGAGAACAAAATATTAAATGTCAGTCAATCTGGAAATAAACCTGTGGGGTTTTGGGGTTTTGGGGTTTTGGGGTTTTGGGG